TATTTCCTGGAGTAGGAAAACGGTATTTTGTGAAATCAAGGGCAGGTGGCTCCCACTTCCTAGATTTAGGATGAGGGGTCGCCTCTCGCCCTTGAACTGGCTTCCTCTTCCGTGAAGTGGAGGGTTTCTTAGCCGACTGCTCCTTGTCCAGAGCAGGCGGCTTCTTGTTGATCAACTCTTGAATTTCTCCCTTGAAGTCCCTCATGAAGGTCATGAGTTCGTTCCTTGTGATGGGAGCAGACCCATCAGTCGGCTGCTGCCGAACAGGCGGTGCGCCTGCTGGCTCGCTTCCAGTTTGAAGATGTTCCCGTTCCCTCCTTTCGGTATGACGGGTACGTCGGGCCCTTAGGGTCCCGTCTGAAGCTGTGTGAGCTTCAACTTCAAATTCATTCTCAGTATCGTGGTCCGACTGAACTTGAGGGTCGTCTAGGGGACGCCTCTCTTCAGGAGTCGGTACAGACGTGGATGCCATCTCAGAAGTACTCTCCCCACAGACGGCGCCAAAATGTTTTGGGGTTTTCTGATGTCCTGCGGGAGAGTTACAATTCCGAGACTGGAACCGGACGCCTGTACCTGCAAAACAACGGAGACTCCTTGTGGTGGGAGCTCCGCCTCCAACGGTCAAGTTAGTACTTGATTAAGGAGTAATTAATGCGGAAATTAAAGTGATTGGGTCTCTCTAGGTGAGAGTGTTTAATGTGTGTAATCTGCGTTTTTTGCGTTCTCCCCCTTAATGAGGATTAAGGGAGGTATTTATAACCTCGGGAAACGTGCCAATCTAGGTTTAGGTTAACCTTGGGCTGATTGGGCTTCCCTCGGAAGTTGGGCCTAGGTGACCGGCTTCTCCATTAGGCATGGAGTATGCCACGTGTCATGACATAATAAGTCCAGGGTGGACGAATAAGCGTGTGCCACGTGGCAAGCCCTGAGAGGTCCAACTGGGGGACACTTGACAGGACCTGATTGGCCCACGTGGCGCATTCCGATTGGTGGGAGCAAAATCCCCTAATCAATTATAATTCAAGTGATTGCCAATAATAGGTTTGTTTGTGCATTAATATTCAACCAACATAGGCTAAACAGGTTTAGGGTTAACCTAATGATTGCATGTTAGTCAAAAAAGTGCACATGAATACGAGTAGAATAAAGTAGAGGTCTATTTTATAGGGCGAGTTCTTTCTCTTTTAGATTGGATTCATACCCTCATCCCAAAACACCAGCCATGGTTCCAGACCTATGGTAGTTTACTATCTCATGGATCGTTAAGGGGTGTAACCTTCACCATTTGAACGGTTTACAAGTTCCTAAAACTTGTTGGTGACTCTTTTCCTCTTGCTTATTTCCCTTTGGACGCCACAATGCTTAAGTGTATGATTACAGTGGGGTTCAAGTTTGGGGTAATGCTTGAAATATTCCCTACAGTTTTTGGCGACTCCACTGGGGAGGATTTCTATTTTAATTCCTGAAATTTATTTTGGCAATGATTTAAAATGAGCGGATAAGACTAAAAAATTTCTAAGTATTTCATGTGCGTAATTTTGATTAACATTATTGTCATATGCATAAAAATGGTCCTCATTGGATAGACCATCCGAAATAGATAAAAAACATAGGATTCTTACACGTAGGAAATTTGAGAAATATCTTTCACAACTAGAATCGAAATAATATTGCAAAAACTGGAAAATTCTAAGAACACAGAAAGCTGCTGAGGCATGTAGGAACTAGCACTGAGAAAATAGAGTTCGTCACATGGAGACAACCTTGTCGTCTGACGATGGAATTATTTTTTGGCGAAAGACTCTGTTGTCTCGCGTCGTGCTCTTCCAATACCAAGCCAAAACTCTGCCTTCTTGTTTTGACTGGTTCTATCACTTTAAGCTCGATTCTACTTCCTGATTGAGTTTTTTTCTCTTTTCTGAAACCCATATGTGTTCTACATATGGTCATAACCCTCTGGGGTTTCACACTCCATCTACCTAATCGGACTTTCATGGCAACTACGGGTACATCCGAGTTTGTGAATCCACCAAACCGTGGAAGCAAGTTTAACTTGCGTGGTCCCATCCATAGGCGTCAACCCTTCCAAAGGTAAGGCTTCCATGCGATGCATCCAGACTCATAACCATGGACCCTCTTTGACTAACCTATATCCTTGAACTTTAGAGAACTAGAGCCATGGTTAGGTTGCAAACAAATTGCATCATATTGTGACTACTTGACTACTTGTGCATTCTTTGCTCGTGCATAACCTATGTGTGTTTATACTAACCGTTTGTTTGACTTGTGATTAAGTCTAAATAAACTAATTAATGACTAAATGATTTTGCTTAATGAATTAATTAATATGAGTAATTAAAGTCTGATAAATCAATCAAACTTACTTAGTACGGCTATAGGCATGTCCCTTTAAAGTAAAAATACTTGAAACAGTCCCAGATTAATGTTCTGGCAATGGCGTAGAGGTTTTGGATGTGGCGCCAAACACTGCTATGCAACGCCTGGCGACGACCCTGTCGTATGGCGCTGCATTTCAGTGTGTGCCGATAGTTCTGTTGCTTTAGCGACAATCCAGTTTATTACTCGAGTCATCACGTCGAGTCTAATTAAACAGTTTATTAATTAGTTTGATCAGTTTTTTAATGACGGTAGCCATGTTTAGTCCTTAATTGAGTCTAAGCACTTAGTTCCATGGTCATGACACAAGTCTTAACATGTCACCTACACTCACTAGTCTTAGTACACACTTTGTATATGTCACCATGACCATGTCTTAGGTTCATGCATGAGTCGTTTTCCGTTATTCGAGTGGGGGGGACCAATATATTCCCATTCCCTTCCATGTTGAATAGAGCTTGAGTCAAAATAAATAATAAAAAACTTATCCCCAATTTTCCTTTCCACAGTACTTAGTCAAGGAGAGAAGGACAATTTATCAAGGACAACACCTTTGTTCAAGTTCAACTTTTTGATAAACCAGTCGGTCGAAAAAGAAAAGCTAAGAAGATAATGGCAAGTCAAGAAGAAGTCATTGAGCTTAAGAAGCAAAGGCCAACATGACTGAGGTGTTGAAGGATTTAACCTTTCAAATCAATGACCCTGTGAAACAACAACAAATGGAGCTCATGTAAGAAAGCTTGAGCAAAATATCAAATGACTATAGATTCCAGGGCATTAGATCGCAAGAGGTCTTGGTCGACAAAGAGCTTCTTCCGCAGAAGTTTAATACCAACGACATCCCTAGGTTTAAGGCTATAGACAATCCTTATTTCCACTTAAGAGCTTTCGAGACCATAATGAACATTAAGAGGATTGATAGGAAAGTCTTTTATTTCTTGTTTTCTTTATCTCTTGAAACCGTTTGTAAAAAATGGTTCTTTTCCCTTGACAAAGAGAAAACCTCTACTTGGGATGCCATTGTAAACGCTTTCATTGATAGATATAAATATAATATTCAAGTCAAAACCGACTATAGATAACTTGAGATTCTAAGACAAAAAGTGAATGAAGGCTTTACTTATTTCTTTAATAAGTGGAGCAAAACTTCCGCTAAAATGATTGAGGTGCCTACCGAAAAAGAATCTGTAAGGATTTTTATCAAGAATCTCCAAGAGAAGTATTCGAAACGTTTGAAATATCAACATAATTTGAATACTTTCAAGGCCGTCTATGACATCGGTATTAAAATCGAAGATGACCTCGCAAAGCCAAAAGCTACTAACTATAGTAACCAAAGTGGCTGGAAAGGAAAAAAGAACGACAATTCTTCTTCGTCCAAAGACACCTACTCTAGTAACAATGTTACTAACTTTAATCTCAATAAAGTCTTAGCCATGGATAATCAAGGATCTTAAAAGAAGCCCAATAGTGAGTGCACACCCATTGGAATGACCAATGATGTTGCTTTCGATCGTCTCTATGATCGAGAATTAATCAAACCTATTGGCCTTACCGATCCAACACCAGAAAAGCGATCTTCAAGATGGGATCCAAATTCTTATTGCAAGTACCATCAAGGAAATGGTCATACCACCGATGAATGCTACAAATTTCAAAATCTCATTTAAGATCTCATAGAAGCAAACAAGATCCCATGTCCTCTAGGTAGCAATTCTAAGACGACCGGGTGATGATAAGCACAAGACACAAGGCGGGCTTCAACGACAAGAGTTCATGACCTCGTTTTCTATTTCTTTTTCATTCTTCCTTTCCCCAATAAGTCTAGCATAGGTAACCTGCATTTTCCTTAATTTTACTTTGTAGTTTTTTTCCTTTTTTCCCTTTTAATAAAATAAGCATTTATTTCTTTGCATACGATAGTAGAAAAAATGCTATTTGTAACACCCTATTAGTAACTGGCGTATATTATGCTAGTTACAGAAGCATCAGTAGTAACCGACTAAGATAATGCCAGTTACAAATTCCATGACATTAGTAACCAATGTAGTAAATGTCAGTTACTAATATGTGGTGTATCTTTATTTGAAGTTTTATTAGTAACTGACTAAATAAATGTCAGTTACAAATGTTCAGTCGCAAAACATTTGACTAAAAAACTTGTAACTAGCTTACAAACGCCAGTTACAAATACTTAGTCAAAGAAAGTTTGACCAAAGCGTTTGTAACTAGCTTATAAACGCGAGTTACAAATATTAAGTCAAAAAAGTTGACCAAAACATTTGTAACTAGCTTAGAAACGCCAGTTACAAATAATAAGTCAAAGAAAAGTTGACCAAAACATTTGTAACTAGGTTACAAACGCCAGTTACAAATAATAAGTCAAAGTAAAAATTTTGTAACTAGTTTACAAACGCTGGTTATAAATAATAAGTCTAACAATAATTTTTGTTTTTTTTAAGACCAACAAATATTAAATTTATAGTTTACTTTTTTTTTTTTTTGAAGGAAAGTTTCTAGTTTTATACTTTCTCTTAATTTTATTAATTTTTCATTAAATTTTTTTTTTTGAAAAGTAATTTTCATTATAATTTTGATTAAAGGTAAAAAATAAAAAAAATAAATTAAGGTAGCTCAAAATTCGCAAAAATAAAAAAAAACTAACACTTTCGCTCCACCTTCACGACTTCTCCTCCTTCACCCCTTCACAGCGCGCTCCTCCTTCTCCTTCACCTCTCTTCCTTCTCTGTTGCTGCATCTCACTCCATTAATTGTTGTTTTGGTTTGTTCGAATTTGGGATCAGCTTTATGGGATTTTTATCAAAGTTTGAGGTATGTGTTCCTTTTGAATTAGGGTTATTTTACTTTCGAATTAGTGTTTTTACATGTAAGTTCGAATTGATTGTTGTTGTTTTCAATTACTTGATTAATTTTTAATGAAATTAGATTATTAAAAAACCAAGGAAATTAGGTTTTGATGAATATTTCGAACAAAAAAAATTCAGAAACGATTATTGTTTGTGAACTGCTTTGTGTAATTGGGGTATATGCATGTCTAATTGGGGTATACTAGCCGAGTATGTCAGGCCTTTTTGGTTGGTTTTTTTGATTCCATGAAAATTATGCATTATGCTTCGTCTAGTTGCTGCTGTCATGTGGTTATTCTACTTGTGCTTTGTTTGCGCCCTGTGCTACTGATTGTTCCAGAAATTGTTCATGACCATGTGATGTTAAGACTGCTAGTATATAAATTTGTTATGCTTGACTATAAAGTCCTACAGCCCTATAGACTTAGGAAGAATTCAGCGCTTTCATTATGTAAGAAAATAGTGTGAATTCTCAATTTTTGATATGTTTTAAGATTATTTTGACCTAATTGAAGAATTAGGCAGCTCATTTGATTGATGTTAGGGGCTGTAATTTATCAATTTCTGGTGTTTTCAGATCAGATTGATGACATCTTTTCATCGTTATTACGAATTAATGATCATTTCGAACTTTTGATGATTGATCATCATCTGATTTAATCTTACTGCTTGAACTTACTGACCTGATTCATTGGTTTGTAATCTGTTTTCATCATTAAACAGTAGCCAATTAATTTAAAAATGTTTAATTAAGTTGTTAGAGTCCTTTGTCCCTCAATTTAATTAAACGTCCATAGGCTTGGATTTGGCATTTCTGAGTGAATTTTCTGTAGGTTTTAGATTGAAATTTGTTATTTGTCGTGTTGGATGTTATATCCTTATGGTTGTTCTCCTGCACTTTAGTGTCTATTAATGATTCTGAGAAGAAATATATGCTCTTAACTTGTGTGTGTTTATTAACGTCTGTTTTTCCTGTCTAAAACCATAAGGAGAGGGAGCAAGGTTGGAGATTTCCGGCTTGACATGTCAACATTCGCCGCCACTGTTCAGGCTATCACACTTTAACATCAGAACTGATTTCAGAGCTGAAATTCAGAACTGATTTCAGTGCTGAAACTCAGAACTGATTTCAGTGCTAAAATTCAAAACTGATTTCAGCTCTGAAACTCAGAAATGATTTCAGTGCTAAAATTCAGAACTGATTCAGTGCTGAAATTCAAAACTGATTTCAGAGCTGAATTTCAGATCTGAAGTTCAGAATTGAAAATTAGAACTGAATCAAAACTGAAATTCAAGACTGAAAATCAGAACTAAAATCAAAGTTTTGGATCCTTTTGAGTTTTGAGTGACGAGATAGTACTTGACCAAATCGCTAATACTTCAACATTTAAGTTCAGATCCACTCCTTGGATAGCTTCAAAAATGGAATTGTATTATGCATTAGTGAGTATTTCTTTGCTTTGTTTTTTTTTTGGTGAATCCACAAATGTTTGTGTCTATGATCCATAGTTAAGTTTGATCAGTGAGATTTCCCACAACTTATCAAATTTATACATATTCGTAGGTGGATAGGCATTTCTTACAGAGATTAGTGATTTGAGTTCTTGTAGTATTTAAAGTTTTACACTTTGCTATGTGGGTTTGCAGTCATTTGTGCTGTACTTAAGCATTAGGCTTAGTTGCTACTAGATGCCTGCACTAACTGAAATGTAAACGAAACACTTGTGCCTTTGTTGTGGTGATTGGATATTTGGACATATTATGGAATATTCCCTGCCGACATGCACTGTTTTCCATTTTGAGCATCTGTTATATACCTCTTTCATCTTAAGGAATTGAAGTTAACAATTAGCATTGTTTGTTAAGCAGAACATCTGCCGGCATGCACTATTTTGCACTAAATAAAGCTTATTCAGAGCTGAAATTCAGAACTGATTTCAGAGCTAAAATTCAGAACTGATTTCAGAGCTAAAATTCTAAACTGATAATCAGTACTAAAATGATTCGGGTTGAAATTCAAAGCTGAAAATGAGTTAACACACCAATTTTATTCGGTTATTCCAATTGGTTGTATTTATTTAACCGAAGAAAATGAATTAGTGGTAGCCTGGTAGGCATATATCAAGTGTGCTTGCATTTTGTTCATACTTGTGAGTTTGACTGTTTTTTGAGGTATTTTATCTTGTGGGAGTTGATTGATAATCTCTGGTTGCTGTTCTATTGTAATTGTCTTTGTTTGTTTCTTATGCACTTGTTCTAATAGTTATATGCTTGCTTTTTCTATAATTCGTAGTAAGAAATGAATCGTGATTGGATGTATGTTGAAAATCGAACTCAACCCGAGTTCTTGAACGGGATTGAGGAATTTTGTAGAACTGCTGAAAATAATTCCTACAACTAGTAGGTCATTAATCAATGACGCTGATATGGAGAATAGAGAACAATATGATGATAATGAAAGGGATACGGATGATTTTTTTGAGGAGAATCACATTCCTGAGATGATGGATGGTTTGGGTGATCATGTGAACGAAGAATCTCGTATGTTTGAAAATGTGTCAAAGGCCGCCCAGACACCTTTATATCCTGGATGTGCAAAGTACTCTAAGCTATCAGGGGTTTTAACATTATTTAACTTGAAAGAAAAGAACGGTTGGACCGATACAAGTTTCAATTCGTTGTTAAAAGCTTTATCAGACATGTTTCCCGAAGGGAATGACATTCCTAAGTCTACCTACTATGCAAAGAAGCTATTGTGTCCCTTAGGTCTTGAGTACACGAAGATCGATGCATGTCTTAATGATTGTGTACTTTTTCAAAATGAGTATGAAAACCTTGATTCTTGTCCAAAGTGTGGTGTTGATCGCTACAAGCGCGAGGGTTCAAACCCCAATCGCAAGAAGTGGCCACCAGCTAAGGTGTTATGGTATCTGCCTATAATACCGAGGTTTAAACGACTTTTTTCTATCAAGAAGGATGCAAAAAACTTGGTGTGGCATGCACAAGAGAGGAAAAAAGATGGGTACATTAGGCATCCCGCTGATTCGAAGCAATGGAAACATATTGATGATACATTTCCGGAGTTTGGTAAAGAGGCTAGGAACCTGAGACTTGCATTAAGTACCGACGGGATAAATCCTTACAGTACCCTTAGCTCTCAACACAGCACATAGCCGGTGCTTTTGTCAATTTATAACTTGCCTCCTTGGCTATGCATGAAACGTAAGTACATCATGTTGTCGCTTCTAATATCGGGTCCCAAACAACCCGGTAATGACATAGATGTCTACTTGGAGCCTCTCTTGGAGGATTTGAGACTGTTATGGGATAAAGGTGTTCCAATGTTCGATGCCCATACAAGTACAAATTTTAGTTTGCGGGCCATGATTTTTTGCACTGTAAGTGATTTCCCGGCTTATGGGAACTTGTCTGGTTACAAAGTAAGAGGGAAAAAACCATGCCCCATTTGTGAGGACAAAATGGAACCAACACGCCTCAAGAATTTTGGAAAGGATGTTTATATGCATACTAGACGACTGCTTCGTCGAGATCACCCTTATCGTAAGAAAAAAAACTGAATTCAGTGGGTTCCCAGAGAAACAGTGGTTGCGTGAGCCACTTAGTGGTATAGAGTTGTGGGAGAGAATCAAAGATGTTGTTTAGGAAAGTTGGTAAACCTACCACTATTACGGGTCTTTGGAAAAAGGTGTCTACATTTTGGACTCTTCCTTATTGGAAACACTTGTCTGTTAGACATTGTCTTGATGTTATGCATATTGAAAAAAATGTATGCGATTCAATCATCGGGACATTATTAAATATACCTAACAAGACAATGGATACTAAAGATTTCCGGAAAGACATGAAGCTTGCAAATATTCGACCAAAGTTATGGCCCGTAGAAAATGACGAAACAATAAAGACATTTTTGCCTCGAGCTTGCTACACATTGTCTAGAGAGGAGAAAAAAATAATACTTTTTGAGTGTTTGTACGGCATCAAAGTACCTACAGGGTACTCGTCGAACATTAAGCGTCTAGTTTCAATGGCCGATAAGAGATTAATTGGTATGAAATCCCATGATTGCCATGTCATGATGCAAGTGATGTTGCCTATTGCACTTCAAGGTCTTTTGCCAAAACATGTTAGGCACACTATTGTTAAACTTTGCCTATTTTTTAATGCCATATGTAACAAGGTGATTGATCCAGATAAACTTGATGAAATGCAAACTGATGTTGTAGAAACATTATGCAAATTTGAGATGTATTTTCCTCCTTCATTTTTTGACATAATGGTTCATTTGGTTGTCCATCTAGTACGAGAAATCAAGGAATGTGGCCCGGTTTTTTTGAGATGGATGTACCCTTATGAGAGACACATGGGAACTTTAAAAGAAAAGGCGACCAACAAAGCACATCCAGAAGGTAGTATTGTTGGAGGTTAATTGCAGAGGAGGCTAGAAACTTTTGTTCTGTGTTCTTAACTATGGCTAAAGAAATTGGAGTTCCAACATCTCGTCATGAAGGCAGACTTCAATGGCAAGGGACGATCGGTCGTCAGTTTGTGAAGCCTCCATCAGATAGAATCCAGAAAGCTCATCGTTATGTTCTTCAAAACCTTTCAGAAGTCCATCCTTATATAGAAACTCATCTCAATTATTTGAAAAGAATGAATCCAAGAATAGGTACATATGCTTTGATGCAAAAACATAATCATTTTTTTGTTGAATGGTTTCAAAACCAAGTGAAGTGTGAGTTAGGGCAACCGAATAATAATGTATCTGATACAATCAGATGGCTTTCACAGGGTCCTCAATTGTTTGTGAACAGTTATGAAGGCTATGACATCAATGGGTATTGTTTCTACACTTGTCGCCAAGATGATAAGAGTGTACATCAAAATAGTGGTGTTATGGTTGTCGCATCTTCTACGGAATACTCAAGCTCTAAGGATGCTAGGCCTATTAATGCAACACAGTCATATTATGGGGTCATTCAAGAGATATGGGAGCCGAATTATGTTGATTTTGTAGTTCCTGTTTTCCGGTGCAGGTGGGCTGACAACCGGCGAGGGAAAAAGATAGATGAACTATTTGGTTTTAATTTAGTGGATTCAAGTCGATTTGTTGATGGGGAGGAGCCCTTTGTTTTAGCTTCACAAGCAAAACAAATTTTCTATGTAAGGGATAACATTGATCATAACTGGCAGGTTGTTGTTTAAGGCAAGAGAAGAATTGTTGGTGTCGAAAATGTTGTCGATGAGGAAGAGTATGACCTATTTGATGATACACCGCCTCTATCTATTGGGGTTCAACCCCTAAGAGAGTGGGAAGACATTGTCGCAGATGAAGAATATGCCTATGAGGAGGGAGAATATGTTGATACCTAGGCTTCATTTTTTATCAATCTGTAGTTCTTTTTAATTCTTTGATTAATTTGTAACTATAATGCTAGACAATAATGTTAGATGACTATAAAACCTCCAGTTTCACTTGGATTTTAGTCTTTTGAGCTTTGACATATTAAATGGAATTTTACATAGTTCTTATATAAGCGGCACAAGCTTGACTGTTTTTATTGGTATTATAACTTTAGGAATTGAAAAATAATGTCTCTGGAGGTTGCTTTTATTATTTATATCTGCTTGCTTTGTTACTTACTTGTAGATAGAAACCTTTTATAATCTGTAAAAATATAGCTATGTTCGTGTAATATTTAATTCTGTCAGTTTTTGTATTTTGTTTTATGCAAGCATTTCTAGATCAAGGAGCATAAATATGGCCATTCAACAAAGTCAAGAGCAAACTTCCTCAAGCCAAGATGTTGCTTTGCAAGCCACATCATCTAAGAAGAGGAGTAGGGGGCCATCAAAGGCAATACAATCAAGTAAGCCTATGGTGCTTGAATTCAATGATTATGACTTGCCTACTAGTGAATGGGAACTCGTTTATGGAAAACAAATTGGTGCATGTGCTAAGAGATTAGACATCACTGTGAATGAGTATGCAAAAATAGATAAAGTGGATCGGGAAAATATATGGGAGGAGACAAAGGTATAAACTATTCACTTACTAGTTACTCATGTTGCTATTCAAAATATTAGTTAACTTTTTTTTTTAATCCACAGCGAATGTTCCACATTGAGGATCCAAGTGGAGAAAGGCAAAAAAGGTTTCATAGTGTTGTGGCTTCGCGATTCAGCTGTCACAAGTCGAATTTAAGGGCACGAATCATCACTTTTAAAAACCCATACCCGGCCACTTCTCCTAAAGCAAATATGAAGCCATGGGAAGTGTATGAAGGTTACTTTACAGAGGAGAAATGGAAGAGGTTCGAAATATATAGTAAATCAGCAGAATTCAAGGTAACTACATATTCACATGCACTGTTAATTAATCAAACAAAAACTGATTGTGAAGAATATGATAATGTTTAACTCTCTTTTCTTTTTTTTTAAAAAAAAAACAAAAAAAAAACAGGAAAAGAGTGAAAAGGGGAAGGAAAATGTAAAGCTAAACAAATGTCGCCATCACTTGGGTCGAAACAGTTTTCAAAGAGCTCGGATAATTTTGAATAAGCAAAAGAGACTTGAAAATAGATTTCCTGCTCTGGCAGAATCTTCAACTACTGGCAACACTTCCCAGAGCAGTACATCAACTGGTTCTATTTTTGATCGTCGAGCTCTTGAGTGGGGTTTAGCTCATGAAAAGCGGTTGCCAGATGGAACATGGGGCATCGACCCAAAAGATACGGAGACTATTCGAATTGCCAATGTAGTTGTATCTCATAGTTTATCAAAACAAATAAATCTACTGGAATTACAGATTTCTGGTCATCTAATTAACTTTTTCTATGTTTTTTCAAATAGGAAGAGAACTTGCAAAAATAATCAAAGGAATCTGAGGAAGGAGAGTGTAAACAATCAGAGCGAGGCGTTGATGCCCTTACTTTGGCATTTGGGAAAAAGGACCATCGTGGATTTGTGAAAGGACTTGGTGGATGTGGGATTGGTGTCGGCTATAGAAAAGCATTTGGCCCGGTAAAAGGTAAAAACATGTCTAAAAGTGGTTTCTCATTACAAGAACTAGATGAATTTAAAGAGAACTTAACTCGAGAATTTGAAGAAAAATTAAAGGAAGGCATTGCAGCAGCTGTAAATTCTTATCTTTCTGATTTCATACCACACATTACTGCTAATGATTTGCAAGTAAATGATGCTCAACCTTCCCCATCTTCCTCAACCAATCCAACAGAGCTAAGTCCTCCCTTGTTAGAGGTAAACCTTCATTTGATTGAGATTGAGCTCTTAATTATTATCACATGAGATGAATGGAGAATTGATAATCAGAACTAAATTCAAAGTCGAATTTCAGAACTAAATGCAGAATTGATAATCAGAACTGAATTCAAAGCCGAATTTCAGAACTGAATTCAGAACTAAAAATTAGAACTGAATTTAGAGCCGACTTCCAGAACTGAATTCAGAGCTGAAAATCAGACCTGAATTCAGAGCTGAAAATTAGACCTGAATTCAGAGCTGAAAATCAGACCTAAATTCAGAGCTGAAAATCAGACCTGAATTCAGATCTGAAAATCAGAATTGAATTCAGAACTGAAAATCAGAACTGATTTCAGAGCTGAAATTCAGAACTGATTTCAGTGCTGAAACTCAGAACTGATTTCAGTGCTGAAATTCAGAACTGATTTCAGAGCTGAAACTCAGAACTGATTTCAGTGCTGAAATTTAAAACTGATTTCAGAGCTGAAATTTAGAATTGATTTTAGTGCTGAAATTCAAAACTGATTTCAAAGCTGAAATTCAGAATTGAATTCAGAACTGAAAATCAGAACACAATTCAGAGCTGACTTTCACAACTGAATTCAGAACTGAGTTAAGATGGATAGTTTGTTTAGCATTGTTTAGTCTTCTTAATTTTAGGTTTGTGGAGTTAGTTGGTATTGTTTGCAGAATTTGTTGTTGGAGTGGTATTCTTTTTCTTGCTATTTGATGTATTTATTGAAGATAAAAGTTACTATTGACCTTTTGTTGTTCATACAATGGATTGTATCTAAGCTTCTTAATTTTGCATCTAAGCTTTTTCATTCATATCTGTGAGAATTTAACTTGACATGTGTTAAAACAGCAAAATGATTTATGATTTCACTCGTTCATATCTGGAGTGATGCTATTTAGCCTACAAGAAATGCAACACAAAACACAAACTAGTAGATACCACTAATGATTGTAGTAGCACAGTCCTTTTCTGGAAGTCAGCTTATTGCAAAGTATATAAAATTTATCCTCTAAAATTAACAAATCTATTACAAGATCAGTAGTGGAGCATAAATAGCATTCAAGATATTCTAATCCTTTAATAAAGTCTGCTTTTAAAAAACTCATAGTAGCATAATCTTGTAAGCATAATCTCATAGTAGCTTTAGGCTACAAATCTCTCATTTGTTTTCTCTAATTTCTGGATAATCTCACCAACAGCTAAGTTACGCTACTTACACTCAAGACTTAGATAATACATGTTACAATGATTAACTAAAATGGAAACCCACAACATCTATGATTAAAGGCAGCTTCTAACTTTCCCGCACTTCTCTTTAATTAACCTTGTCCTGTTGCTAGTGTTTGTTAATAGATTGGATTAGGGTTCTAGTGTTTGTTAATGTTACGAGTAATTTCAACTTAATTCCTGAGTTTTATTATTAATTTGAACCAAGAAGGATGACTTTGATAAATTAAACATATGAGGTGTGACAGGGTGTTTGGAGTCTATCAGATTGGAGGTAGAACAACGTCCAATGGATTTAATTAGGGTGCTAATGTTTGTTATTTATGAGTAATTTCAATGTAAATCGCAGAGAAATATTATTATCTGGAACCAAGAAGAATGACAAGGATATATTATGCACATGAGGTGTGAAAGTGTGTTTGGATTCTTGTTAGGTGTTGGAAGATCAGATATCATGCAAGATACTGCTCTCATATAATTAAAAGGCACATTCAAGAGCTGTCAGATTCTCAGATAGACCATATCAACATGGAGTAGGTTTGGTGTATTCTTCTGATGATTTAACATTAAAACCTGAGACATATTAGCAACAATTGTGACATGAGCTTGTCATTGTTGCTCATTGTTGCTTCTCACAATCGACCCTTGGTGTATTCATGCTGGTTTAACATTTCATGATGAGGGTATTTTAAGTTTGGCATGATATTAGCCAGCTTAGATTCTTTTTTTCCTTAGTACAAAGTTCCTCTTGCTTTCGTTCCTCTATCTTTGTGATATATATATATATTCTGCAAATACATCATACTGTGAATTTTGCGGAGGTTGTCCATTAAGTACCCCTGCCCCCTTCCTCCCTGTCTGACCCATATGTTCCTCCCAAAACCCATTTGCCAGAGGTTAATTTATCAAAACATCAGTTTTTGTACAAAGAATCTTACCTGCTTTTATTTCTCATACTTATTAATTGTTAACTGTAGATTATGCTTTCATGTTTCTTACGACATGATCAATTATGTAGGTCCCAACTAAATGTCGTCTTGCTTTAGTTGATGAGTTCAGTGGGAACTCAGTGATTGTGGCCGATGGAACGGCAGAACCTTTTCCTAGTGGAGTGATTCATAACAAGAAAATGAACCGTGACATTTATAGAGTTAGTGTTGACCATGTTTACAGTGATTATTCTCACCTAAATCTCCCAGAAGAGACTGATGACGGTATCACCAAGTTGGGTGAGGCGTAAGGTTTTTTTTTGGGGTGACTGGCAGATTTAGTCTTCTTTACGGATGAGGTAATTCATTGATATGCTATGTAATGATCTAAGATATTTGTAACTAAATTATATTAATATTTATCTTTTCTTGAAGGTTATGACTTTGGCAAAAAAGACGGATAATGAATTGGTGCAAACCAAAGACAAAGTTGATAGTTGCGGACCTATCAACTCAGAGCATTCAACTATTAAAGGCAAAGGCATAACTATTCCGGAAAATATTGTCGAGTCTTGGTAAACAGTGTTCTATGTTGTATTATTGCATGACTTCAGGAAGTGGAGATTATGATACTACGACAATTCCATTGAAGGCTCCATTATTTTATCAAAAGGAAGACACAGAAATTTATGCTACTAGTGATGATGTCTCTGAATTACTACGAGGAGCATGGGCTAATATTTCATTAATCCATGTCTACATATTGTAAATACTAACATTCATTAAAGTTCTTTGAATTTGTTTTACTATGAAATATATTTTATTAGATCCATTTATTATACTAATTATTGATTTTTTCTGTAAAATGCAGGTACTTAATTGAAGAGCATATCTCATTATTTCAGAAGACTAGAATCAAATTCTTGTGCCCCCAAAATATTTCTGCAGCTGAAATCAAGAAAGATTTCCTTGAAGTCCAAATGTATTTGAAAAATGCTTTTCTTACTGAATTAAGGAAAAAGGATGCACAATGCAAATTCATTTTGGCTCCATATATGGAAGCGTATGTACTACTGATCCTTGAAATCTTTACTTTTTCATAATTTTATTATTTTAATTATGTGAATAATACGAACAAGTTTATTAAAATGTAGGAATCATTGGGTACTCTATGTGATTGATTTGCGTATGAGTCTTGTGTATGAGTTTGATTCTGTTATTCAATCACCTCCGAACGCTCGAAACTCAGAGTTTTCCAAAGTAATGAAGATGTTAGTACACAACATTCGTAGTACTACGTATTCATATGCATGTGATAAAAATTTATTTTTCATTCGTTTAATCTAATGATTTTTATGATTTTTTTTTAGACCTTACAATGTATATAGGTCACACCTTAAAGGAAATGCTTTCAAAACGAGTAGACCACAATTACTGCACATAAGAATGGAGGTAAGCGTATAATTTTTTGCCTTTTCATTCTATTAGTAATGAAAGTATTATTTAATATATTAAATAATTGTACTATGTTCATTTGAATTAGTGTGCTCAACAATGTGGTGGTACCGAATGTGCTTATTATGTGATGAGATATATGTATGAGATAGTATCTTTCCATAGCAATTGCAGGGGTAATTTGAAAGAGGTTAGTGATGAGATATATTACGAGTTTAGGTTGATGTTTTATTTTTATAAAGTATAATATATATACACGTATTTTTTTTTCAGAAGTATTTGGCAAGACTTGCAGCCTACAACGATGTAGAATTGGATGAGATTCGAGAACAATGGGCTAAGTTTTTTAGGCTTAATTTTTTGTTGAAAGACTAGTTATCTTATTAATCGATGTTATGATTTATCGCATTTAGCTTAATAAAATGATATAACACATTTTTATATATCTACTTTAATTTTATTTAGCCTATTGGTTATTGTTATTACATTTCTAAATTATAAATCAATGCTTTTTTAATTCATCTTTAATTGTTTTTTTGGAAATTACAGTATAATTAATTTTTTTGTATTGTATTGGTTATGGATGAATAATTCGAGTTGCGCGGAACTATTTAGAGTGTTTGTATTGTATGGAAGCATTCGTAGTACGTGTTTTGTTGGTTGAATTGTAACAGGTTATAACCCATTTGACGATGGGTCATTTGGTAAGATATACTACCATTTTTGTATTCGAATCAAATATTTTTTTTAAAAAATATATATTTATTAGTAACTAGCGTAATCTAGTTCTAGTTACTAATAGTATTTTTTTTAAAAAGATAAAAAATATATTCGTAACCGGCGTTACGATTTGCCAGTTATTAATAATACCCTTATTGTAACCGACGTAACTTAATGCCAGTTACAAATAGTGTACTGTTTTACTTGGAAAATAGACTTTTTGTAACTGACGTTGGGTTATTGTAGTTACGAATATACCCTTATTGTAACCGACGTAACTTAATGCCAGTTACAAATAGTGTGATTTCTTACCTGGAAAATAGATTTTTGTAACTTGAGTTGGTTATGCCAGTTACGAATAATACATTATTTGTAACTAACATGAGCCGGTTACGAATAATTTTCACTAGTTGTAACGGTGGCATTCACAACCAACAATGCCAGTTACAAAAAGTCAATTTCGCCAGTTACAAATAACACTTTTTCTACTAGTCATATCTCCTTTCACCCTTCAAATATACAATCTTTTCTTGGTAAACTACTTTAAGCCTCGTCTAACGATAGACCTTTGTTTCTTCAACCCACATCTACCTAACCTTGGGATGGGATTGTGTGTAACTTATGCAATTTTCAAAGAACAAAAGCTTGACTGAGTCAAAAATTAAAATAGCAGAAACAATAAAATGTGTACAAAGGGCAAGTGCTCTAATGTCTTTGACATGAACATGTCTTTTATATGAACACGTCTCAAATTGCGTTTCTTATCGAGTACTCGGCACCATGCCTAAGAAACATGAATGCCAAGTGAGTGATATACCGCATGATTGGGATTGTCCACACTTAGCAAAAAAGGTTCAAAATAAAAAAAAAATGCAAGAGCAAAAAAAAACAAAAGAAAGAGCTCAAAATTGAGAAACCTCAAGCATAATAATGCAAAGATTCAAAAGCAAGGTTGCACACCTTGGGGGCTACTCTAGGGTCTTGAGCCTTTATCCCTTTATTCTTCCACATTTAGCCTACCCACGTTACAACCCTTAAAAGACCTCTTTGAGGTATACACATACTTGTGCGAGGTTCGGCTAGAGTTATGTTCGGCCTGATTCCTAACGGATACGTAGGCAAGCTCACAAAGGGGTGCGGCCGTAATAAACATCCATTCATATTCACATTCACACACTTACACCATGATCATATTAAGGGAACCCTTATGCTCATCCCTATCTAGTTAGAGCTAGACTTGGGGGTTTGATCCTTACATTATTAGCCTACCCAACCTAAGAGTGATCACCATTTGACTCTTTTCAATATATTTTTCCATACACTTAACCCTTGTGGCCTAACTTTAGTGTCACTATCACACACATCACATATTCATGACCAAATATACTCCCCTTAGGAACCCTTTGTCATGAAATCTTAACACAACGCTGAAGCATGGCTTGTCATATCAACATCAATAATCATTGCATCACAAAGTATGAAGTACTTAGCCTCCGTGCCTAAGTTACCTAAATACTTTCATTATCAAGTCAACTAGGGTAGTTTAAAACGTTACAATCCTTGTACTGTGAGAGACAACGTTAACAGATTAAGCACATTCAAAAACTCCGGTTCTTTCTTTTTCACGTCCTTCTTTTTTGGGAGAAAGTCGGTACCCTCCACAAAAATGACAGAATTTTTTTTTTCTGCATGAGTCAACACTCCGCACACACGAGTCATATTGAGTCGAGTCAACCTCGAGTCAGTCAATCACAGTGAGTCAAGTTTATAGCTTGAGTCATGCCAAACAATGTATGTCAAAACACCTTGAATCATGTCAAGTCAATGAGTCAAGCAACACTAAGTCTTAGGACAACCCTAAAGAAAGATAAGCAAAGTCCTATAGTCCAAAATATAAATGAAGGTACATTCTAGTGAGAAAGAACATTCCCGGATTTTTTCGAAAAACCGCGAATATAAACTGGATTCCAGCACCAGACGACAAGGTTGTCGCCTGGCGACAGAGCAAGGACGCGGCGATAGCGGTTTCCAGCGTGCGCCGATGCAGCGACGAGATGCGTGGCCCCCATATTAAATTATGAGGACCTCATATAGAAATTTCGGGTTCCTTGGTACACCAGTTAACCCCTATAAGCAAATTGACATGATTATTAGTCGGCTCGATTACAATCGTAGTAAGTGATTGACCTAACAAAAAATCGTCTCACTTAGATTAAGCGCCTAAGTATTGCCTCATTACAAGAACCAAGGCATTGGTTCAAAAGCAAGCACTTATACGACAATTTTTCCAAGATTGAATTGTCATCCCCAATTGACAATATTTCAAAATGTGGATTGTCGCGCATCTTCTTCAACGACAATTTTTCCAAGATTGTATTCATCTGTTTATCCTGATATTTTTTAAAATTCTAATTATCTCTCTATAAGCATCAATAAATGTCCTAAATGACATCTTAAACACAAAATTTGTTCATCAGCTGGGCCAGTAATTATAGATGACTAGATGTTATAAATGGCTAGTGACCACCAGTAGCCTTTTGTTTTTTTTTTGTTTTTACTATATTTGGGTGCTTTATTTTGACAGGAATGATACTCCCTTAAAAAAAAAAAAACTTGACAGAAATGATAGGATTTTCCTTTCTTTTTCAGTGCTTATGGATCAAGTTGTTAATATTGCTCAAATACACAATTGGTTCATCAGCTAGGCAACAGCAAAATCAAGACAAAAACTAGGAAACAACAAAAACAAGACAGCAACCCGGCAACAAAGCTAATTAAATAAAACGAAAGAAAGGAAGTCAAAGTAGAGAGAGAAAGTCTCAAGAACTAGAGAGAGAAAGTTGAAAAATCGATTGAAACCCATAAATCCGAGCTTCGATTTTCAGCCCGATTTCAATGGCAAAGAGGAAGAAGGGTAAGGGAAGCAAGAGCTCAGGATCTAAATCGAAGAAAAAGCAAAAAGAAAGGCAGAATTCTGGGCCCAAAACAAGGAACTATACGAAGAGGAAAGAACAGAGCATTGCTTCTGGGGACGTTTCAGTTGAGAGCTGGCTTAATGAAGTAATGGAGAACTCTAGTCCTATGAAGGAAGTAACTCTAGAAGACTATGGTGAGCATAAGCAGGAGTTTAATAACTGGCTTCAGGTAATTCGTTCATCTTCATCCGCCATTGATGATGAGCTTCGTATTGTTGCTTGCTGTGATAATGTCTTAAGTTTTGATAACCCAACTCCTATTTTGATGCTTGAGAACTCTAGGATAATTTGAATGTATTTTCCCCAATTTTGAGAACCCCGATTTACAATCCCCTGTTTTTCAATCCCCAATTTCTAATAGTGTTGCTCGATTGAATTGGAGGGAGAGTTTGTTCCAAGGGACTAGGGATGAGGGGGTAGACCTATCTGAGGGTGTAAACCTTTCTGAGGGGAGAAATGTGCCTGTAAGATAGTTGTGATAAGGTCCAAATCAATTTTGAAGATGTTCAACGAGAGATTGATTTCTGGAATTCAGCAATTGTTTGCCATGTGATTGGAATCAAGCCACCATTGTCTGTTATTAATGAGTTTGTCAGAAGATTATGGGGTAAATTTGGTGTAGACAAGGTATCATTAATGGCAAATGGAATTTTCCTTGTTCGTTTCAAGACAGGGGATGCAAGGGATCGAGTTTTGGGTCTAGGACCTGTATGGTTTGATAATAAGCTGGTAATAATGAGAAAATGGGTGGAGGGAATGGATTTGTCTGCTGAATCAGTGGATCTAGTCCCTATTTGGGTAAGGATGCCTGGCCTGAATCTGAAATATTGGGGACAAAAGGCTCTTATGAAGCTTGCTTCTCTGATTGGGAAGCCTATTAAGACTGATAAGGCAACTGCTACTAAGGAAAGACTGGAGTATGCCCGGATTATGGTGGAGGTTAAGTTCAATGCTGAGTTACCAGAATGCATTGAATTCCTGGATGAGCTTGGTAACACAGTTAAGCAAGAGGTGAAATATGAATGGAAGCCTAGGGTGTGTAGGGTGTGTGGTGGGATTGGAAATGATGATGTTCAATGTCCTAACCATAAAGTGCAAGCTAAGAAAATGGAGGGGTTGCAGGCTGGGAGGAATCAACAGCTCAATAAACAAAAAAAGAAGCCACAAAGAGTGTGGAAGCCAATTCAAAAGCCTGATATTAAGAGCTAGAATGATGGGAGCAGGACAAACACCTTTACTGGTGGTTTGCAGACTGATGATATTTGTCAAAAACCTCAGTTAATGCAGTCAGGTGTGTTTTTAATTAGTAGTAGTGGTAACAGGTTCAGTGTCCTGGAAGAGGGGGAATGTTCTCACTCTTACCATGGATAAGTTTGGATTCTGGAATATAAGAGGTCTAAATAAAGCCAGCAAGCTCTGTCATCATAGTATTATAAGAAACAGATTCTCCTAGGAATCGGGAAAACAATAAATCAGAGGAAAATTCTTCAACATGATTATTCCTTTCATGTTAAAGAATTTCCCTCTTTTGAAGGGGATAGAAATATTTGATCAGATGAAAAGAACTCACCTTACCAAATAGAGCTATGGAAAAAACCAACACAACAATACAACCATGAAACTACAGTTCAAGTGAAACCCAAGACTTATTACTTCACAACAAAATAAAATCATGAACAATGACCACCAGCATTGTAAGAAAACTATTATTGCCAAAGTATAATTTTAAAACAAAGTCCAGTTTTTGTAGCACATCGAATGCTGTCCAG